CTGGGGCTTGGGTTGGCTGGGTTGAACTGATTCCCTGTAGCGAGAGGCTGTGAGTTCTCGCTGCACCTTCTTGTTAATCTCCCCAGTGCTCAAAGCTCAGGCCGCAAGCGCTGCCTCTTTTGTCTCTCCTACCCCTGGAGCCCAAGAAGCCGACCAGGTGCGGCTTAGGGTGCACGAAAGCCCAAAAAGCGGGGGTACCAGCCCTGCTCCCCCACTAGGTGTGCGTGCCGCTCCGCCAGGGTGAGCGGAGGCCCGGCTCTCGCGCTTCTCGCTTCTCTGTAGGGCACGCGCTCCCTCTGCGACTTGTGGTCAGATAGCGCCACCTGCCGGCATCATGGACGCTCTGCATCTCTTTTCGGGGTCGCTGCAAACGCCAAAAGGGGTGAGAGAACTCAGGGTTGGAAGGTTAGAAAGACAGTTTCCCAGACTTCCTAGTCATAAGAACACCCACGTGTGTTGCTAAAAGTAATATTCCCTGGACTCCATTCCATACTTACAATATGGGAAGGGCCCATTCTGTATTTCTAACAGGCACCCAGCCAAGTTTAGGAAATGGGAGGGAAAAGACGTCAATGACGGCTAAGGCGACAGCCACGTACACCAGAGCAGGCGGGTTCGAATCCAGCCCGAGCCAAACAACAATGACGGCTGCAACCAAAAAATAACCAGGCGTTATGGCGGGCGCCTATAGTACCAGCTACTTGGGAGGCTGAGGCAACAGAATCGCTTAAACCCAGGAGTTGGAGGTTACTGTGAGCTGTGATGTCACAGCACTCTACCCAGGGTGACAGCTTGAGGCATTTAAAAAACATTTTCAAAAAAATTGCATCCCTACTTTTTTTGCTGTTGTTGTTCTGCAAGCACATTTCCTTCCCCTTTTGTAAACACAGCAAATGCTTTATGATTAATTTCCAGTATGATTAATTTCTGGGATGAAAGCCGTGGTCTAACCAATATATCAATTTCTCTCCTACACCTGACCCTTTTCCTTCTCTCTCAACACCAACGATCTTGTTAATCAGACCCTGTAGCTCCGTTGTTTGAAATCCTCCTCTGGCTTCTCATCTCATCACAGTAAAAGCCAAAGTACCTACAATATCCTGCAAGGCCCTAAGGGTATGCTTCCTTCCCTTATTTCTCTTACTTACCACCTGCTGCTCCAGCCGGTCTCTCTCCTAGCTGTTGCTCAGTCACTCTGGGGAATCCCTGGGAGCCATTACACTTGGCTGTTTGTTTCCTTTGCCTGGGACTCTTCCCCCAAATGTTCAGAGAGCCTGGTTATTCAACTCCTTCAAGGCTTTGTTGGAAAGTCTCCTTATTTTTAACTTACAAAAAACTCCCTGGCAAAGCGGGGTGGCTCACACCTGTAATCTTAGTACTTTGGGAGGCCAAGGTGGAAGGATCCCTTTAGACCAGGAGTTTAAGACTAGCACAGGCAACATGATGAGGCCTCATCTCTACCAGAAATAGACAGCTAAGCCAGGCATGGTGGTGCACACCGGCAGTCTCAGCTATTTAGGAGGCTGAGGCAGGAGGATTGTGTGAGCTCCAGAGAATGACATTGCAGAGAGCTGTGATGATACCTCTGCACTCTAGTTTGGGCAAGAAAGAGAGACTCTGTCTCAAAAAATAAATGAACGAATGAATGAATAAAAAGTAAAACACTCCCTATATTCTGCCTTTGCTTTGTTTTTCTTCAAAGCAAAGATCACTTTCTAATATACTACGGAAATTATTAATTTGGTTTATTATCTGTCTCCTTCCATTAGAACTTAAGCTTTTTGAGGACAAAAATGTAGTTTCTTTTGTTCACTGCTTTATCACCAGAGCCTACAACAATGGTGGGTATTCAAATCAATATTTTTTGAGTGTTGAAGAAATAATTTTTATTCTGATTATTTCAAATAACATCCCCACTCTCGTTTTCAGCCCTTCTATTTCTGGTGCTGTTTCCCCTACCCCTAGTTATCATACTGCTATATTTGAAAAATATGTCCGGATGAAGAAAACTTGACTTGTAGACTTGGCATATATTTGTAAGAATGACATTATGGAAATTTCAAAGAAAAAGATTTGGGATTTTTAGGGATATCTGACAGAGGTTAATGTCCTTCTAAGTCAGCTGATTGAAAATGGAACCATTTTAACTTTATAAAAAGTGTGACATCAGTGTATGTAAACTGAGATGGTTTAAAGACTCTGAAATGCTGGGGCCACACCTGTGGCTCAGAGGAGTAGGGTGCCAGCCCCATATACCGGGGGTGATGGGTTCGAACCCAGCCCCGGCCAAAAACTGCCAAAAAAAAAAAAAATGACTCTGAAATGCTGAGTGTACACTTCTGTAGTAGGAGTGTGGAGAAGAAGGTAAGGAAGAGTTTGCCAAACCTAAAGACATTTCCTGTGCACTTTGGAGGAAGCTAAAACAGTGAGGAAAGTGTAACATTCAGCAATTTAGAAGCAAGTTAGAAATTCAGGACTTATGGTAGCGAAAAGTTTGGAAAAGACCTGCCCAATTTACAATATTAAAAAAAAAAAAACTCGGCTCGGCGCCTATAGCTCAACCGGCTAAGGCGCCAGCCACGTACACCTAGGGTGGCGGGTTCGAATCCCCAGCCCGGACCCGCCAAACAACAATGACGGCTGCAACCAAAAAATAGCCGGGCGTTGTGGCGAGCGCCTGTGGTCCCAGCTACTTGGGAGGCTGAGGCAGGAGACTCGCTTGAGCCCAGGAGTTGGAGGTTGCTGTGAGCTGTAATGCCACGGCACTCTGCCCAGGGGGACAGCTTGAGGCTCTGTCTCAAAAAAAAAACCAAAAAACTCAAGCTCAAGTTCACACAGGGAAAAACTGAGTAATCCTGGGTGGTGGGTAGAGGGTTATATCCTTCATATATACCCAGGATACAACAATGTAGATACCTTTTCTTAGTAAAGGAGATGTTCCTTCAAGTTTGGAGGCTTTACCCTCCAAGGAGTTATACCCTCTTTAGGAAAGAGCTGCTAGTGAAGATTTATGGTGAGTTCTGGGGGGTCCCCAAACTGTTCATCTGTTTGAATGGAGAGCAGAGTCAACATCAGTTTCTAGGGAATGTCTTGTGAAGTCAAAAAGAAAAAAATACAACAAAACCCTCAATTATGATATTTCACTTCCGTAAAGGGATACAAAAGGCCTGAGATTGCTAAATGGTTTCCACTGATGTCTAATCCTAGTTAGTTCTGACTTATCTGATCTTGAGCAAGTCATTTGGGTAAAGCCAAAATCTCCTAGGAAATACCTTTCCTAACTAACCTTTTGCCAGGATCCTTCACTAAATATTTATACTAAGCAGGAAGAGTGACTTCAGTTTTCTGATTTGCAAAAGATAAGCTCCCATCTGTGCAGGTTCAGAGATTTGGGAAGGCTGCATCCAGACCTAAAAGTCTTTTAGAGTTTGATGAGTTTGATTTTCTTAAAGATTGCAAGTAAATGGCTCTCTACACATTTTATTTCTCAACATAAAGCTATGATTTTATAGAAATGTCTTTCTTTTTTTTTGAGAATTGCCTAGCCATAAAAAAGTATTCAAAGTTACTGCTTCAACAATGACATTTTAATCACACCAAAGCACCAGATCTCCTGAGAAAAAACAGGAACTAGGCAAATGCTAGAGTTAAAACTATTTGACTTTCCATAGAGTCAAATCTGTTAACCTGTAGAAGGGTTTCTCAGAACCACCATTACGCATTTACTTACATAGGTAGAACTCTTGTAGCTAAGATGAGAATTTTTCACAGTTGGCAGGGAAAAAAAGAAAAGTAAAATAAAATCTGCAATGCCATTTACCATCCCAGGAGGACTTCTCTGACTTCTTATTTAAGGCTTTCCCATTCCTCTCATTTTCTAGATATTTTCTGGACATTGCTATTGGGCTGAAAAACAAGGAAAAATGTAGTTTTTGATGGAGTTGTGAGAAAAGCTTCCCCCTTGGAGAAGGATCTGTGCTCTTTGGGTGCTGCCCTTCACCATTCCTGGGAATTAGGATTTCTGGTGCCCACACAGGAGGTGGATGTGAGACTACTCCCACCAATGGTATATTGCCCCTTCCCACTCTGTCCCCTCCATCCCACTCCCCCTCCCATGCTTCTGGTCCCTCTGAAGGCTATGCATCCTCAGGAGCAGAAGAGCACCCCACACCCATTGCCCTTCTCACAGAAAGACTGCCCTTCTGGAACCAACCACAGGGCAGCCCCAAGAGGTCTTCTGCATTCTGTGTTGTTCACCCGCTCCCTTCCTCCATAACCCCTTCACCTTTCTGGCTACTCAGAGAACAGTAATGTTGCTAAAAGTCCAATGTTTGCCCTACTCCAGCACCCCTGCCCTCCTGCCAGTCCCTACAAATTCTGGGTTTTTCTAGATTCTTCTAGAATGTTCTTTATGACTATTTCATGCTAGTTACAACCTCTGGCTCAGCCTTGGATAAAGATGTAAGAGAGGTTCTGAACTTCATTATCTATATCACTGTGACTAAAACACGCAACCCAGGTCATGATTCTAGGGAAACAGTCTATAGTCCTTAAATGTTGAACCATGTGATTATTGCCTATTCAAAAATCTAGATTTAAAAACTATATTTGGGGAGTAAGGAAGAGGCAGAATATAAGGAAGAGTCCAACAGGAGGATGGGAACTAGGTACAGGACTGCAGGAGAAAGAATTGGTCCTGGGTGTTCAATTCTGGGCCCTCCCATAAGATTCAGACCTGCGTGGCTCTCACACCAGAGCTTCAATTTATGACTATGACTCTAGTCATAAAATACCAGTTTTCTCTTATCAGCTGAGTTCTTTTCTCCATATCCTCTGAAGCTAGAGCTAAAATTCTACTCCAATTAGTCAACTTTCCCCCTCCAGGCAGAGACAAAACAAAATTCTCCCAAGTTTAGTTTCTTTGAGAGAACGTGTTTCCTTTAAATATCACTAAACTGAAGATATAACTTATTATTTTCGGCCAAGGTAACCATGCCAAGATGTGCTTCAAGATTCTCCCTGGACTTGCCATCATGCTTGCATGCTTGGTCATCCCCACAGTGGCCACTGCTTGCATCTACAAGTTCACTAGTGGTGGCAAGGAAAAGACAGTTGCCCATTATATATACCATTGGCAATTGATGGAAAGAGATAGACACATCTCTGGAGTTAATCGCTACTATGTGTCAAAGGGTTTAAAGAACATTGATTAAAGAAGCATTTTCCTGATTAATGACAAAATAACTCAGTAATGGTCATTTACCCCAGCTAGAAGGTTATACAGTGTCTTATGTAGCATCCCATATGTTATATAGTGCTCAATAAAAACAAAATGAAAGGGTGGTGCCTGTGGCTCAAAAGGGTAGGGTGCTGACCCATATGTCGGAGGTGGTAGGTTCAAACCCAGCCCTGGCCAAAAACTGCAAAAGAAAAAGAAAAGATTTAACTTTTTTCTCTCCATTTATTTATTTATTTATTTATTTATTTATTTTGAGACAGAGCCTCAAGCTATCCCCCTGGGTAGAGTGCCATGGCATCACGCTCACAGCAACCTCCAACTCCTGGGCTCAAGCGAGTCTCCTGCCTCAGCCTCCCAAGTAGCTGGGACTACAGGCGCCCGCCACAACGCCTGGCCATTTTTTGGTTGCAGCCATCATTGTTGTTTGGCGGGCCTGGGCTGGGGATTCGAACCCGCCACCTTAGGTGTATGTGGCTGGCACCTTAGCCGCTTGAGCCACAGGCGCTGAGCCATTCTCTCCATTTATTAATACGTCTCTTTAATTCTCTGCTTTTCTTTAAATTTTATTTATTTAATTAGATTGAGACAGACTCTCACTCAGTTGGCCTAGGAAGAGTGTCATGGCATCACAGCTCACAGCAACCTTAAACTCTTGGACTCAAGTGATCTTCTTGCCTCAGCCTCCTAAGTAGCTGGGACTATAGGCCTGTGCCACCACACCCAGCTAATTTTTCTATTTTTAGTAGAGATAGAGTCTTACTCTTGCTCAGGCTGGTCTTCAACTCCTAAGCTCAAGCAATTTACCTACCTCCACCTCCAAGAGTGCTAGGATTATAGGCATGAGACACTGCACCAGCCTACTTTTAATTTTCTTTTTTTATTTTAATATTTATTTATTTTTATTATTTCAGGTTCATTGAAGGTACAAAGAATTAGGTTCTACTGATTGCATTTGTTGGTAAAGTCCCCCTTATAAGTAATTGTGCCCTGCCCCCAAGAGGTGTGTCATACACTGTAGGCACCCCCATTCCCTGTCTCCTCCCCTCTCCCTGCTTCCTTGTTCCCCTGCCACCCACCTTGAATTGAGTTTTTCCTCTTATGTGGGTGTGTATCAGATTGTCGACTGTCTTCATATTAGAATTGAGTACATTGGATTCTTGCTTCTCCATTCTCGTGATGCTTTACTAAGAAGAATGTGTTCCTAACTCTATCCAGGTCAAAACAAAAGATGTAAAGTCTCCATCTTTTTAAGTGACTAAATAGTATTCCATGGTATACATATACCACAGCTTGGGTATATATACCTGGGTTGGTGGGCATTTAGGTTGTTTCCATGTACTGGCAATTATAAATTGACCTTTAATAAACACTCTTATGGGCTTGACGTCTGTGGCTCAAGTGGCTAAGGTGCCAGCCACATACACCTAAGGTGGCGGGTTCGAATCCAGCCTGGCCCGCCAAACAACAATGATGGCTGCAACCAAAAAATAGCCAGGCGTTGTGGCGGGCGCCTGTGGTCCCAGTTACTTGGGAGGTGGAGGCAGGAGACTCGCTTGAGCCCAGGAGTTGGAGGTTGCTGTGAGCTGTGATGCCCCAGCGCTCTACCCAGGGGGACAGCTTGAGGCTCTGTGTCAAAAAAAAAAAAAACTCTTATGCAAATATCCTTATGATAAAATGATTTTTTTTTTCCTTCTAGGCAGACGCCTACTCATGGGATTGCAGGATCAAATGGGAGGTTGAATTTGAGTTCCTTGAGGATTCTCCATACTTCCTTCCAAAAAAGGTTGTATTAGTTTGCAGTCCCACTAGCAGTGTAAAAGTGTTACCTTCTCTCCACATCCATGCCAGCATCTGAAGCTTTGAGACTTTGTGATGTGGGCCATTCTCACTGGGGTTAAGTGATATCTCAGGGTGGTTTTGATTTACATTTCTCTGATGATCAGGGACAATGAGCATTTTTTCAAATGTTTGTTAGCCATTCATCTGTCTTCATCAGAGAAGGTTCTGTTCATATCTCTTGCCCAGTGGTAGAAAGGATCGTTTACTCTTTTTTTGTTGATTAATTTGAGTTCTCTGTAGATTCTAGTTATCAACCCTTTGTCAGATTCATATCTTGCAAATATCTTCTCCCATTCTAAAGGGTGTCTTTTTGCTTTACTTGTGTCCTTAGCTGCGCAGAAGCTTTTCAGCTTAATTAAGTCCCACCTGTTAATTTTTGTTGTTGTTGCAGTGCCCTGCTGAGATCTTTGTTATAAAATCTTTCCCCAGGCTGACATTTTCAAGAGTTTTTCTCATACTTCTAAGATTTTTATCATTTTTGTCTCTTAGATTTAAATCTTATATCCATCTTGAGTCAATTTCTGTAAGTGGTGAAAGGTGTGGGTCCAGTTTCACTCTTTTACATGTGGTTATCCAGTTTTCCCAGTACCATTTGTTGAATAGAGATTCTTTTCCCCACTGTATGCTTTTGTTTGGTTTATCAAAGATCATATGGCAATAAGAGACTGGTTTCATCTCTTGGTGTTCTATACTATTTCATATGTCTATGTCTCTATTTTTGTGCCAATACCATGCTGTTTTGATTACTGTAGACTTGTAATATAGCCTGAAGTCTGGTAGGGTGATACCTCCTGCTTTGTTTTTATTATTAAGAATAGCCTTGGTGGGTGGTGCCTGTGGCTCAAAGGAGAAGGGTGCCAGCCTCATATGCTGGAGGTGGCGGGTTCAAACCCAGCCCCGGCCCCGAAAAAACAAAAACAGAATAGCCTTGGCTATAGTGGGTTTTTTCTGATTCTATACAAAACGAAGTACTGTTTTTTTCCAGTTCTTCAAAATATGATGTTGGTATTTTACTGGGAATTGAATTGAATCTGTCAGTTGCTTTGGGTAGAATACACATTTTGACAAAGTTGAGTCTTCCCTGTCAAGAGCATGGTATGTTCTTCCATTTGTTGCTAGAAGTTCTAGCCAATGCCGTCAGGCCAGAGAAGGATGTAAAGGGCATCCAAATGAGGGGAGAGGAGGTCAAACTCTTGCTCTTTGCTGATGATATGATCTTATACTTAGAAAACCCCAGAGACTCAACCACAAAACTCCTGGAAGTGATCAGGAAATACTATAATGTCTCAGAATATAAAATCAATATCCCCACAAATCAGTAGCCTTTGTATACGCCAATAACAGCCAAGTTGAGATGCAAATCTAGGACACAATTCCCTTCACAGTAGCTTCAAAGAAAATGAAATCCTTAGGAACATACCTAACAAAAGAAGTGAAGAGAATTGTGAAACCATAAGAAAAGAAACTGCAGAAGACTTCTTCACTTTTTTTTCTTTTTTTGCAGTTTTTGGCCAGCGCCAGGTTTGAACCCACCACCCCCGGTGTATGGAGCCGGCGCCCTACTCCTTGAGCCACAGGCACTGCCCTTTAAATACTTCTTTAAATTTTAAATAAAAAATTTGTGTTTTATTTCTTACTCCATTTCCCTTCCTTTTTTTTTTTTTTTTTTTTTTTGAGACAGTGTCTCACTTTCTCCCCCTGGGTAGAGTGCCATGGTGTCATAGTTCACTCTTGGGCTCAAGTGATTCTCTTACCTTGGCCTCCTGAGTAGCTGGGACTATAAGTGCACGCCACAATGCCTGGCTAATTTTTTAGAGATAGGGTCTCGTTCTTGCGCAGGTGGGTCTCAAACTCCTGAGCTCAGGCCATCTACATGCCTCCGCCTCTCAGAGTGCTGAAATTACAAGCATGAGCCACTGCGCCCAGCCCTATTTTTCTTTTTTTTTTTTTTAAGACAGAGTCTTACTCTGTCACCCTGGAGTATAGTGCTGTGGCATCATCATAGCTCACAGCAAACCTCAAACTCTTGGGCTTAAGCAATCCTTCTGCCTCAACCTCCCCAGTAACTGGGACTACAGGCTCCCACCACAACACTCTGCTAGTTTTTGCTGTTTTAGTACAGACAGGGTCTAGCTCTTGGTCAAGATGGTCTGGAACTCCTGAGCTTAAGCAATGCACCCACCTAGGCTTCCCAGGCGTGAGAAGAATTACAGGTGCTAGAATTACACGCATGAGTCACCACACCCAGCCAATTTTTTTTTTTTTTTTGAGAGTCTCACTCTGTTGCCCTGGGTAAAGTGCAATGGTGTGTTCATAGCTCACTGCAACCTCAAATTCCTGGGGTTAGGCAATCTTTCTGCCTCAGCCTCCCAAGCTCAATCTGCAGGTGCATGCTACCACACCCAGCTAATTTTTTTTTCTATTTTTGATAGAGATAGGGTCTTGCACTTATTCAGGATGGTCTTGAACTCCTGACCTTCAGTGATCCTCCCACCTCAGCCTCCAAGAGTACTAGGATTACAGGAGTGAACCACTATTCCTGTTCCCCATTTCTTTTTCTCCTCTTTTATTTATATGTCTATCAACTAACATATATTGTGTATCTTATAAGTTTTAAACACTGTGGTAGTCATCACAGAGCTACAACACTGAACCAGAGGTTAACCCAAAAACTTACTACAAAGGAATTATGTAAGATAGAACACCAGGCTCGGCGCCTGTAGCACAGTGGTTACAGCACCAGCCACATGCACGGAGGCTGGCAGGTTCGAACCTAGCCAGGGCCACCTAAACAACAACGACAACTGCAACAAAAGAAATAGCCGGGCATTGTGGCAGGCGCCTGTAGTCCCAGCCACTTGGGAGGCTGAGGCAAAAGAATCACTTAAGCCCAAGAGTTTGAGGTTGCTGTGAGCTGTGATGCCACGGCACTCTACCCAGGGGGACAGCTTGAGGCTCTGTCTCAAAAAAAAAAAAAAGGCCTTCTGTTAGAAGGGAAAGTAGCAAGGGATTATGGGAAAGGAGCAGCACCGTTGGAACCAGGTGGTTGCATTGAGTTTAGGAGTTTAGATTTCATCTTTAGGTACTCAGGAGTTCTAAAAAGTTTTAAGTAGTAGAACTGTATTATAGGAACAT